AAGCCAGTCCCTCTTCCCCCACCTCCAGCCTGCACCGTGAGAGCCCCTCTTCCTCCCCCATCTCCAGCCTGAACCATGAGAGCCCCTCTTACCTTTCCCCTCTTCAGCCTGCACTGTGAAAACATCACTACCCCCCACCTCCAACCTGCACCGTGGAGCCCCTCTCCTCTCCCCAACCTCCAGCCTGCACCTGAGGTCTCGCAGCCAGTGTGTGACCAGCCACCCATCCCGGAGGAGGGGCTTCACGGCCACAGGCACATAGTGGCAGGGTAGAGGACAGACGTGGGTGGTGTAGGCAGCACGTCACAGTGTTCGGGGCTCCGGGTTCCAGATATGGGATCCACTGTCCAGGGAGCACTGCAGACTCCAGGCCGGCAGGTGCCCTGGGTCCCAGTGACCCTGCTCTGTGGGGAGGGCCATCGAGCCTGGGCTGGGGCCTCAGGTGACCAGGCTGAGGTCAGTTTGGCAGAGACCACCCTGATGAGATCGTCGAAGGGAAAGATTTGGGGAGAAGTGAGCTTCTCTCTGTGACTGATTCGGGGAAGTTGAATCTGCTGTGTTTAGGGGAGAAGAGATGAGAGGGTTTTCTGTGAATATGAGATTGAGGCCACAGCTAGGATCTTTACGAAACAGGAGCATCGACTCTGTGGCACACCAGATGCATTTAAAGCCGTATTTAGACTGCCGTGTGGGCATGAATGTAAATAAAAAACCAACCAGAGTGTTGTGGTTGGGGGTGGTGGCTCCGTTGGCCAACCCAAGCCCAGCATGGTGGGCGCTTTCCGTGGCCTGCGTGGGCCCAGCTCTCACCGGGCAGCCTTTACGTTGAACGTGCAGGAAGAGACAGTCAGTCCATGCATTCTTTCCGAATTTGAAGAAAGGAGAAGGGTTGATTCCCCGTGGTAAGTGTCTACACGACTCCTTTTTGGGTATTTGTTTTGAGACAGCATCTTGCTCTGTCACCCAGGCTGGAGTACGGCGGCACAGGCATGGCTCCCTGCAGCCTCGTCCTCCCAAGCTCAAGTCATCCTCCCATCTCAGCCTCCTGGGTAGCCAGGGCTACAAGTAGATACCAGCGCGCCTGGCTAATTTTTGTATTTTTTATGGAGACGGGGTTTCGCCATGTTGCCCAGGCTGCAGCTCCTAGTTTTAACAATTATGTGAAGTTTAGCACAGTCGTGCATGAGCATGGAGGATGCAGTGGTGTCTGCTGAAGATGGGAAAGGTGGCTGTGAACAGGTGGCTGCTGTTCCAGTCGTCCACGCAGGATCGGGAGAAACGTGCACCCCACCGCACCGAGGCTTCGAGAGGCAGAGGCCGCAGTCCAGCCACTGAGCAAATGCAGAGGAGAAGCAGGCTCTGCTCAGAGCAGCGGCAAAGGCCAGGGAATCCTGAGAATGGACCAGAGACACGCCCAGGGTCATGGTGGAGAGACCCACAGGAAGGCAGAAAGGAAACCGAGCCAGGAGCCGGGAGGGTGTGGACGGTGCTCCTGTGCCAGCCCCACTGCCTGGGCCCTGCCTGGGGGTGAAACTGTCAAGGTGGAAACTGCCCCCAGGCAGTGTGGAAAGCAGCGCAGGGCTGAGGCAGTGCCGAAGAATCTCTTCTGGAAATTGAAAACCTGGTGTAAAGCTCAGAGGAAAAGTAGCAGCTGGCAAAATTTCAAAGAGTAAAAAAGAAGGCCTTGCCCTACTACTAGGCATCGAGACTTATGAAAAAGCCGTAGTAATTAATACAGTGTCGTTTTAGGTGCAAGAATCCACAGATCTCAACAGCACCTACCGGATACAGAAGCTGATTGAACACGGAGGTAGTGGGGAGGAGGCCGTGCTTAATGAGTGAACTCACTTGTGTGGACACAGCCAGCCCAGAGCCACCAGCTTAGTCATCAAAGCTTCCTGGGCTAAAGCCTTAAACCACAACAAGTGTTTGAGTGTCCCGGGCAGCTGGCCTGAGCCCATCGCTTGGCATTTACGGGTCTATGCTCCTTTGATTTAAAGGCGCTGAATATGTAATAAAGCAGGTGCCATGAAGTGTCATAGATGTGATAAAATCACTGTAAATCTTTACTGCAATGTTTTGCTACATTCTGTTACAATGTTGCTTTACAAGTCTTAGCTTTGAAGAGAACATTTATGTAGTTAAATACTTATGAATGGAAGAGCAAATAATATTCGCCTTTGGTAGTCATGAGTACATGCAAATTTTAAAAGCTGCACAGTACCTGCTTCTTAATTATATCTTATTTTCAAAATCATCCATGAGTGATCCTCACAGTGAGACAAAGTGAAGGACATGTTCACACACAGGCTGAGAATGCTGACCGCACAGCCCTTAGGAAACGTGCAAGTTAAATAAACTTGGATGTTCCATGACGTGCGACCCGGTGGCTTCCATCGGGAAGTTGATGGTACAGTCGTTCGTGAGTGGAGCAGCCCTGAAGTCCCCACGCAGCTGGCAGGCAGGGCTGTTCTCCCTCCTCAGCAGCACCCCAGGTGGGGGCCTCCCCAGCTTTGCCCCAGCGTGGAGCAGCTGAGTTTAAGGGAGGCTAGTGGCAGACACTTTGACACACTGCAGGTGCTTAGCAATGGTAACTGGTAACTGGGTTTCGGTGGGCAAGGCGTCGGCGGGCAAGGTGCTGGCGAACAAGGTGTCGGCAGGTAAATCGCTGGCCGGCATTTCCAGCTCTGCGTGAAGCCTGCTGCCCGCACAACCTTGCAAGCTCCGGTGACTCTTAGCGGACAGAGCCGCAGCCCAGGCAGTGAGGGCCCCGGGAGCCAGGGATGCCTCTGCCCTCTACTTCAGGGCTTTGGTGCTTTCAGAAATGCCTTCAAGGGGACTCTTTCGTGATGAGAAGATCCAAGGCCCAACACGCACTCTCCAGCCCCTGAGACCCCAATGCCCCGAGGGCAGCAGTGACGGGTGTTTCTTTTCGTTTTCTGTTTGTCCACATTTCCAGCATCTTCTGAAGGTTGAGAATCTTTTCTTAACCGGGAGGACAAACCCTTTAAAGGAGTAACCTTATAACAAGGGATAATTGTGCAGGGCTCTCAGGGAAAGAGCTGAGGCCCCGGGAACAGGCTGATCAAGCAGCCCGGCCTGGCCTGAGGAGGACTCTGTGGCCTGGGAAGCCCCTGCCCGTGGCGCCTGGGGGCGACTCTGGTGTCCATGGGTGATGTTGTACGTTGGCTCCCTGAGAGGGGTGGTTCATGCCTGTCCCTACCTCCTGTGTCCCCACATGGAGAGCAAAGTGTGACCCCTGCATGAAGAGAAGCAGGCACAGGGTGAGGGGAGGCTCGGGGCATGCGGGAGCCCATTTCAGTCAAAAACGCGCTTCTGGGGGTGGTGAGTCCAAGGGTCGGTAAAGTCACCCAGACAGTTCCGAACATCCCGGTACTCCCTGCAGGGCTCTCCCAGAGAACCAAAGCCAGGGAGGCGAGGGGTGGGCCCCCAACTTCCCGCAAAGAACCTCGGGGAAGAACACCTGAGCACCTGTCTGGACACACCAAGGCTGTGGCGAGGAAACCCAGAGCGGATGTGTGTTCTTAGCAGAACCGACGACATTCAAATATAGGAGTGCTCACTGCTTGGAGTGTGTGTCGGGTGGGGGGCCCACTCAACCTGACGCCTGGCAGGAAGCTGCCCTGAGGTCCCGGAAGACCACAGTGGACCCTGAGGGGACTGACTCTGCCGTGGGCAGTGGTGCACCCTGGTTTCCAGGAGGAGCGACTCTGCCCAAGCACTGGGGATGCGTGGCAGGCGCCTGGCGGGTCAGGGTGGAGACGGCCTCCACTGCTTAGGGGTCTGCCCCGGGACGCAGGCTGGTGCTTACCTCCTCCATAGGTCTGGCACAGGTATGGGAACCGCCAAATGTTCCCCAGCCCCACAGCAAACCCGATGCAGCTCAGGAAGTACTGGGCCTTGTTGTCCCACTTGGGCCTCTCCTCCCCGAGGTCGCTGGCGGCCGGGTCTGGTTCTGGGGCATGAGCCATGGCCACTGAATGCCCCAGGCTGCAGGGCAAGGGTGGTGCCTCACTCCACACCCAGCACCAGAGAGCCGTCTCCAGCGTCTGCCGGCGTTTGGAAGCCACAAGCAGCCCCCCTGCAGTTTTCTTTTTTCATTTCTTTAAAGGAAAACCAGTGGAGCGTCGTTAATGGGTAACTTGGGCCCAGGCCCTGGCTCCGACGCTGGGCTCCTTCCCTGGCACCCACGTCCTCTGCTCCTTCTCTCATGCTCTGTGTTCCAGGCAAATGCCAGGCCTGGCACCACCCCCAGCACCATGAGGACCGTTTGCAAGGACAGCCTCATGATTTTTATTGTGGACACCAGGACTCCCAAGACTGAGGCATATTTTAATTGTTTTAAATTTCTTCTTATGTTTTATTTAACCTTTTGATCTTGAGATACTTGTAGATTTTCACTCCGTCACTGTCAGAAACAGCTCAGATCAGATTGCACGCACCCAAAGCCCGGATTCACGCAGGGATCCTCTCGGCCGCTCTTGGGAGGCCGGGGGCTGCCCTCACACCCACTGCTGCCCTCGGGCCACTGGGCAGGACGGGGTGACAGGTACCCACTGTGCATGGGGGCAGGGGGCTGAGGGGTGAGTCCTCCCCTGTGCTCGGGGCACCCCCGCCCGTGGGGGGAGAGTTGATGAGTTGACACTGGGTGAGTTCAGCTCTAAGGAGCTCCCCACAGTGCTCCCTGGACTCTGGAGCTCCTCCCTGCAGATGCTCCTGCCAGGGACAGGCCAAGGGCTCCCAGGCACGCAATTTCCCAGTTCCACCAGACACTGCGCCCTTCAACCGTGTGGCCACAACTCCAGATCCATGAGTCCCAGGGCAGGGGACCAGGTGGACACATTTCTGGAAGGTTCTTATTTGAGTGAGAGGAAGTGTAAGGAGAGAAGATGAGAAGAGCTGGTTGGCCTCCGCCGCGAAGCCACGGGCCTGAGCCATGGCCTCCTCAGAGCAAGCCTCCAAAGCCAGACCCCCAGGAGGCAGGAGCTGGACCTGCCGTCCCCACCATCCCCTCTGAGGTCACTGGCTCACTCATCCCTCACGTCTGGACAACAGTAACTTTTAGGGTGAGAATATTAAATAAAAGGGATTTATTTAGAAACGTATACTTTATGCCCACAAAACCTGCATTTCTACCACATTTACAGAGACATTGAAATCTACGAAACAACCATGAGTCAGGAGATGCAGAAGAGATGGGAGCTCCCACTCAGGGTCCTATGGCAGGCACACCAAGGTACACCAATGGACGCCAGGTCACACCAATGCACACCTGTGCACGCCTGGCTGGGCCTCCTAGGCAGGTGCCACAGGGCAGCATATTAATGGGGCACTGATGGGAATTTTCTTGACTGAGGGCCTAAGAGCAGGAAAAGATGAGGTGAGACCCTGTTGAAGTCATCAGCAGGCGAGCCCCTCAGTGGCATCACAGCTGGGGGCAGAGGCCGTGATGTTTCCCCTCCCACCTCTGCTGCTGTGGAGTCTTGCCCATCCCAGGGCCCAGCGACAGTCAGCAGGGGTGGAAGAGGCTGGTAGGAGGACTCAGTGTGTGCGGTCGCCACTGGCTGGACGGGGTGCTGTCAGTGTGTGCGGTCACCGCTGGACGGGGTGCTGGAAGGGACGAGTGTGACCAGGTTTCTGTGAGTGGAACGTCACACCAGGACACACCAGGGTTTCAGGCCTGCCCATAGGAATTCTCAGAACATCAGTTTAATGTAAGCATCCAGATTCTTCCATGGAAAGCAGAGGTGACCTGTCCGTTGAAGCAGATGTCCCAAGTGCCAACTGCCTGTGGCTGAGATGAAACGTCAAACCCCAACAGAGGCCCATCCCGTGATAGAGGCAGAGCAGGTGCCAGGCTGGGCTTCACTGAGTGGCGCAGGGACTGGAGGCTTCTGGGGGCTGCATGGTCCTTGAAGGTGCCCTGGACACATAGAGTGCCCAAGGATGGTGCCAGGGTCGAGTTACCCTGTAACCCATCTTTTCCAAAGTCTGGCTAAAAATTCACACAGCTCGTGTCCTCTGAAGAAAATGCACAGAGTGGTATTTGCCTTGAATTATGCCAAGCTGAGTTTTATTTAACTGCTCATCTATTTGTGGTGGCAGGAGCAATGATTAAATGGCTGGCATTCATTAAGCCAGGAAACGGCCAGGACGCAGAGACTTGGCAGAGACCGACTGGAGGCACGGCTCCGGACGATGCAGCCAAGTTTTCTCAGAATCGCCAGCAACTGCCCGCTCTGGCTTCTGAGAGGCTGCTCCCAGTCGAGGGCTACAGGGCCCTGGGAACCCCTGGGTCAAAGGTCAACACCAAGGGGAAGGGGATGGATGGAGGTGGGCAGCAAAAGTGGCTCCCAGGAGCCCAGACAGTAACCTGTGCTTTCGTCTCCTGCCACCCACGGAGAGGAAGCACAGAGGTGCTGCCCCCCACCCCGGCTGCAGCTTCCGCTTCCCCTGGGCATGTGCAGGGTGCAGCACGTCCCCAGTGGTCTGCTCCCTGGGCCTCTGCACACGCACCCCATGTCTGTGGCAAGGACGGACACAGAGGACGGCTGGGCCCTGAGTGGCAGGCATGTGTCCCATCGACGTGTATGCACACATATCCACACGTGTCTATATGTGTACATACACACACACAGGCATGCACAGATACACACATGCCTGCATATGCACACACAGGAGCACACGTCACACACTTACACACAACACACACATATACACAGACACACACCCATGTACACATGCTCACATATACACACGTCACACAGGCATACATGCACATATACACCTGTGCACATGTACATGCATGCACACACACGCAGAACACACATACACACAACTGCATGCATGTATATATACTTACAGGTATACATACATGCATGCATGTGGCCACCCATTATACGAGCACATGTGCATGCATGTATACACATGTGTTCACATACATGCACACCACACACAACACAGGCATGCACGTCCATATATACATGCACGCACACATATGGCAGTAAATATGCAGGTACACACGTGCACACATGTATATGAATACACACGTGCACATTCACACCATGACCATACATGTATGTGCACACATGACACACATCTACACACATGGCACACACGTGTACAACACACTGTTGCACACATGTATATGCATGCACACATGTGTACGCTCACATGGTGCCCATACATGTAGATGCACACACGACACATATCTGCACACATGGCACATGTGTATAAAATACAAATACACACACATGAGCATACATTCACGCTCACACACATGCAGGTGCACCCCAGAGGTCTTGCCGTTTCCTCTTTCCCTGACACCAGTGTGTGGCACGCCGTGGGCTCGGCCTTCTCAGTACTTCAGGTCCCCGTTCACGGAGGCTGTGGACAGTGTGCTCACCAGCCCCTGACGGTCCCCTGGCTTCTGGTAGCAGTTCCTGATGAGCTTGTAGATGGCATAGCTGGGGATGGTCAGGCAGGGCACTCCGGTCACAATCACCACCACTGCATACACCCAGTTTGGGTAGGAGATCTTCTGGGATTTGGGAAATTCCTCCTGGGGAGAGAGTCCCATGGGTGAGTAGGCACCTCAGGAGCCAGCGGGGTTCACTTTGGGGCAAAGGTCCCTCGCCCCATGACTCTTACCTCCTGTCCTGTGGGATGGGCAGGGTGGCCTGGGGCTCCTCCAGCTTTCTCTTTCCCCTGCCTCCCAACTCCCAGCCCACCCACCTCCCTCCTGGGATGGCGTGACATGCTGGTGTCAGGGAGGGGGGAACCAGCAAGTTGTGTGGGGTGGTGGCTGGACTGCACCTGAGTGTGAGCGTGTGTGCCCATGTATGTGGGTATGTGTGTTGTGTGTGCATGTGCCATGTGTGTGGATGTGTGTCCTCCTTTCCCCTTTCCCGTTCCTCTCCCCACCCCAGGCGACTGCCTGGGCACTTACGTAGCCAGGATCCCAGATGCTGTAGGTCAGTTCCTCACTGACTTTGACCACAAAGTAGAAGAGGAAGATGGTCAGCATGAGTAGGGGGCTGATCACACGCCACGTGACTTGCCAGAAGATGTTGGGCTTGTGGCCAATCATGAACTCGATGTCCTTATTGAACCTGCCAAGGCCAGAGACAGCTGTCGCTGCTGCTACCAGCTGGGCTTCAACTCGCCAAGCTTCTGTGCGTTCTGTTACCTGAACAGACGGCATCGTGCTGCAAGGTGCCCAGTCTCCCCTCGCCAGGGCCCCATCCCTCACTCCTGCCCATGGGTACCTCCTCAAGCAGAGCCGTCTGTGGGCACGGCCAGCAGCTGTCTCTGCCCTATGACATCACCAGCCAGTGCTTGACGGCAAGCCCATGGTCAGAGGTGCCCCGCCCACACCCACGCCTGAGGTGGTCACCGGTGCAGAATGGGGGGTTGGAGGAGGGAGCGCCGCCAGACACCCGCAGCCTCTCCTTCCTTAGCAGCACCCTGAAGTTGGAAAACCCCACACCTTCCCCACCCTACGGCTCAATTCCCGTCCTCTGCTGAACCCTCTTCTGCACAAAGGAGTTTATTGTCTGCAGAAATCAGGATGGAGCAGGCGGGAGGTTACACCGAAGCTAGTCCCAGGCCTGCAGTGTGCAGGTGAGTACCCTTGGTCCCTGCAGAAGCATGTGAGGAGTAGCTGGTCCCACATGTCCCACATTTAGACAGTTATGCATGCACCTCACACCTGGCAGCACCAGCCTGCAGCTAACCCACACGTCAGGCCTAAACATTCTTTGACAATATCTGTGTGATGTTAGAATAGCATGGCCAGCGTGCCGTGTCCCTCAGCCTTCTCCATGGCTCCCCCGGGCTGGTGCGATCTCTGTCCTCACTCATCCAGTGCTGAAGAGCTTACTGTCCTTGTGTCCTGCAAACCCCACTGCCAGGGATGCAGGACAGGTTTCCCGAGCCAGGAGCCTGCAGGGCTGTGCCTGATCAATGTTAACTGAGTCTGTCCAATTATTTCTTCTTCCACTTCTTCTTCTCCTCCTTCTCCTTCTTCTTCTTCTTCCTTCTTCTTCTTCCTCTTCTTCTTCCTCTTCTTCCTCTTCTTTATTCCTCT